CTCAAAAAATAAAAAGACTGACAGTCAAATACATTGAATTACATTTATATGTTCACAAAGCTTTAAATTATGGTAATTTTGGAGCATACACTGTTATACAATAATTTTGAAAGTTTACTGCAACAAACTTCACAAATTTTTAGGCCACACACACACATACGTACTTGGTAAATAAAATCGAAACAATATGTATACATGTGCATGTAATTAGAGCTACCTCATCTTGTGGTCTATCTTGCATTACAACAGGGCACTGCTTAATAGCATCAAAAATATTAATGTGTTCCTGTGATGTATCATCATCCTAAAGAAGCAACATATTGTGGTAGCCATAAAAATTATGTACATATATCACATACAGTATACTGTATGAGATATATGTACAAATATGACGTACCTCAATAGCAGCAACTTCCTTCTTTTCTACAAATTTAGACTCCATAGAAGGAAACTATGTGAAAATAAGTCTTACTTTTGTTAATATAGTGTAGATAGCAGATAATCATAATCATGAAAATAAATAGAATAGAAATAACAAGTGCTATAGCAATCTTTGTTGAAGCTGAACCTCCATCAGGAAGAGGAGGTGAGCCTATATAGATTGCAGGTACATAATGTCAGTGTTTAACATAGTACTTGTAACTGGAGACGTATCAACAATATTTGAAGAGGTACTTCCAATTCCATCAAGTCCTTCCCTGACAGAACCTTATATATAAATTATAAATAAATTAATAAAAACATTAATTTCATCTTACTGATAGTAGTAGAGATAAAGGAGTGAGGTAAGGAGGAGTTAATATGGATTATTGAATCATTGCTTGGAACTAAGAGAAAGAGTGATAACAGGAAAGGAAAGAAAGTGATAAAGAGATTAAGTGTACACTTGTATGTGCCATGCAGTGCACAGGTTATGATACTATTGTATTAATCACACGTCCAAGCATGATGAAAGACATTATACTTACCTATGATAGTAAAATTAAGAATATCTTTAGTAGAGTTACACGCAATTTCAATTGTGTAACTTCCAGGCTTTAATCCGTTTATAATTTGAGACACAGTGACAGATTTTTTATTGGATGGTAGTACTTGAAAGGAATCGTTACTTATAGTACCATTTCCATAGTCAATGGAGATGAGACAAGTGGCTGAACACACTTTGATGCTACATAGATACTAAACAGTTATTATTAATAAGTGGATACACAACAATTATAAAATCATACTTGAAAAATGATGTTAGTGCTGAACTTTCCTTCAGTTAAATCATAAATCTTTGTCTTATTTATTAAATTTGTAATGCAGACTATAAGAAAAATAGTATTATTAATATAAAGAAGTCTTTACCATTGTTTCGAAATGTTTCATTCTTTGATGATCGATAGTTTCCAACTGAGGTAATAATATCAATAAGTATTGTTGGGCTACAATTACTGATGACGCTCAAGTTATTCAACGACACACTAGTATTAGTAGTATTGACTATACTAGCACCGTTCACTAGAATATTATAAACTGGCTTTTCTTTTTGTAGTATGTCCTTAGAAAAGAATGAAGGAGGAGACCATGACAATACTCGAACTCCTGCATCATTGGACAAATTTACATCCTCAACTGATGTTATTCCTAAAAATTAGTATCAATAAAATACACATACAATGCACAATATAAATGAATAATGTAGTCAGGGTTTCCCCTGCTCTGCAGCTTCTTTTCAGTGATTGTAAGACCTTGTACTATATATAGTACATAGTATTTCGACATAAATTGCAAAAAATTCTCCATCTTATAATTTTTAGATAAACATACATGTATTTATAATGTGTAGTAAATTTGAGCTGACTACGGTCAAAATTAGATTTTTTACAAACTTTTCAAGTTGTTCTAAAATTGGGTCAAAGTCCCTGTACTGGGTCTTTGGCCAAATTTCACTAAAAATAAAAATGAGACTAGGAGAGATTTCTCCATTTTAATAACTTTTTTCTGATTCCGATCAAATGTTTTTTATTTTGAATTTTTAAAGTTGCTCCAAATGCCAAATATCTGCTTGTGCTTGTCAGGTCATGAAGCTTTTAATTTTTTTGTGGGAAACCAGGGCCAGGCTCTGAATCTAATTATGTATTGTTATATATAGCGGAAATTTTGGAGCGAGTTAAATTTGGCAAATTGCTAAATTTTGTGATTAAAAAATTTTAATTTGGTGAATTAGTGGCCACGTGCCATTGAGCATGCATATATTTGCTCAAAATAATGGATTTTATTTTGGCGAATGGCTATCAAAATGCTAAATTCACCAAATTCAAATTCAAAAATTTCCTGCTATACGGTATAATTTTTAAAATTATCCAAAAGAAACTAAAAAAAGATACCTGCTTTACAGTTATAATAATCTTAGAAATCAATAAGTAGACTAGTGACTAACCTAGAATGAATATTTCCCAGTTTTTAGCAATAGGCGTAGTGTATGTATCACAACAAAAAATTTCAACGCCAATCCAAAGCCTATCACTCAAAGGTAGTCCAGTAACAACAACAGCAACAGTCACATTATCCTCAGTGACTGAAAAAGAAGTCTTTAACCCAAATTCCTCTTCAATTTCAGAGTTTACAAAATTCCCATTGATAAGGAAATAACCACGAGGCACACTTCGGAGCTCACATCCATCACATGAAACAGTGTGGCTCAGACTTTTAACTGTTCCTAAGCTTACGAATACAATTTCAGTTCCTAAAACAAAAGAGAACAAATTATAAGTGTGAGCTCATTAAAGGGGAGTCAAGTGGTTTGACGAAGTCGCGGGCCAAGTTGACTAGTCCACCGACATCGACTTCCACAAAGACGGAAGGGGAAGAATAAGAGACTCACGAATCAAAATTCAGAAGATATAACATTAGTAAAGCCAGGAAATTATTTAATTTTAAACTTACCTTCTGTTGCTTCTGCCAAAAATATTAACATGCTTAAGAAGGCCTTCAATGCCATGAGTACGGCCATTCCTAGTAAGTCCGAGTCGTCACATAGATAATATCTAATATCTATGGTCTAATTTACTCTAATATAGATCTATCTATGGTCGTCATGCATGTCACGTAATAAACCACACCCATAATCGAGTTCTGTACACTTAATCATTTTTTGTTTCTAATTCATTTATTATCTACTGAAAGTCTGAAATATAGTGTATGGCTTGCTCAGGCTCGCCCCTTTAAATGTTTTGGCTGTACAATAATATAGAGTTCTTTACTCAGTGAGAGACAGTCTATCCTTCATCATCTTTGCTTCCTTGACAACAATTATTATTAAAATTATGACAAACATGCTGACAAAATTATAATCAGCAAACACGTTAAAACTTATAATTTGTTAGTATTACTAAATGAAGTACACATGACAAAAATGAGCTCCATCAAACAGAATGTACACACAATTAATGTGCATAATAATTCATTAATTAATGTACACACAATTAATTCAGTATAATGAATGAAACTTAAACGCCCACTCAGTGATAAATTTATAATCAAATCAAATAAGAGCAACTGAATGTGAATATGGGAGTGAAAATACTTACAACTTCTAAATATAGTATCATGGTGTGTGCAATCACATAAAGGTGACATGCTACACATTACAGGCAATAATGTATGCATAAGTACATGTTATATCACAATTATCTAATAATCATTCTGGTCAGCAATCATTTTGTTTCTCTTGAAACACTACTACTGAGAGTGGCAGTGTGTCTAAAATTATAGTAAATTTATTTTAAAATTTTATTTTATAACTATTATTTAGCTACTATCCTTGGAAGCTGTTGTAAAGAGAGAGGTGGTGGCTGTCGATTTTTCCCAAGCATCGCTATAAAGTGGAGACACTTCCTAAAATTTGACCCCTAAAATTCTAATTCAGTGAAATATTAATTCACCTTTACACTAGTGTCACTGCCTCCCTATGACTGTGATGCTGACAGTGACAAATCATATCCTACTGTCATTGACATGTGACTATAAATTGGCATGCAGCTATCAAAACACAAAAATAGACTAACAACAACAACAACAATACTATACAAAGGACATGCAGAAGTGCTCCATAAACCACAATAATTGGATTAATAATTACCTCAATTACCGGTACTTGATGCTAATGTGGTAGAGCACTCTCTGTCACATCACAGTGTTGTTATACATTGCTAACATTAACACACATTCAGAATTAACTTACAAGTGATGGTGAACGTAAAGGAACATGCTAAAAATAAAAGACTGATATCATGACAAGAAAAATAAATATTACCTCTGTCTATGTTTGACTAACAGTTTTTTCTTGTTGTCCTTCCTCTTGACAACTTGGTTGGTCAGGTGTTGGGGCCATTACCAATTGCCCATCATTTGGACATTTGGTAAATCACTGTCAAAGACCACTACCAAAGGTTGGGATATAGAAGTAGAGACATAAATAGTATCCATGCTAGAGCAGAAAAACCTGCAGTCACCAATGAAACTTGCCTATCTTATACTCTACATTTTTTACAACCTCCCATAAGTGACCACCTCTAGACAAGCACAAAATATATATTTAGCTGATAAACAATTAAACAAAACAATTAGTGTATTATATAGAATGCAATGAATGTTTATAATGTGGATTACACTTTCTAGTTTACAATACACATTCACTAATAAAAGAAGAAAAATAAACATCTCTACACATTTATGAATATGATTAATAATAATTGTTATAATTAATTGCATCAATTAGTTAAGTGATGCTTTTATTGAGCCATCAATAGCAATGTTTTCATTGTTCATAGCCTCTGCACTTCTGGTAGATGCTATCTTTGATGAAGTTGCTATTATTATAATTAAATAATAAATTTTATCAAAAAAAAATTCCCTTACATGTTGCATAGCAAGGTTCATTATGGTCAGAAGATGGGAGAGGTGAAGGATGCTTTAAATCTATAGAAACATAAATATTCATGAATCATCATAATTACATTGATAAATGATACCTGTTTCTTTTGATAATCTTTCATCAGAATCAGTAAGGGGAGGATTGGGTACAACAGGTACTTGTTTTGCGCTCTCCTAAAATAATCATTAAACAATAATAATTCTGCACGAACATAGCCTGGGGGACAGTTGTCCCCTCTTTTTAAAATCAAATTTAAAATTAGCTGCCTTTTGAAAAAAAAAAAAACAACTCATACGCAATCAAGAAAAGGCTTTCTACAGTCAAATCATAAAGCTGAAAACTGTTCAAAAAGTAGTAATGGACGATATATCAATACAAACAATATTTTACAGCATCAATACGTATCGGCATCAAAATTTTGAAAAAAATTAGATCAATATGTTGACCATGCCCACTTATTATTAAGGTTAATAAATAAAATTTTAATAAGTTAATGACGTATAATACACACAAGTCAATACACATGCATGAAAACATGGATGAAAACAGTAATAATAGGTATGACTCCATAGGTGTGGTCTAAATATCATATCAAAAACTCTATCAATACTCCCGATATGGGCTGATATCGATCAGTATCGGATCAAATCCATTTTGGCCAGTATCACCCACCACAATCAAAAAAGAGGTGTGATTATGGTCCAAAGGGGTGTGGTTTCAATTTTTTTGCAATACACTTTGTGGGCTTCCTATTTCAAAAAATCCTGGCTAGAGCCTTGTTTAACACAAATTTCTTATATAAAAACTAATCCTCATACAAGTACTTACAATGACATCAGTATTGCTAGCACCTTGTACGTCCATAGAAAGCTCACTTGAATCTGGACCCTATTATTATACATAAAAATCATAAATTTGGAGGATGGTAGTACCCCGCCACAACGTTCTAACACCGTGGAATTGGGATTCACTCTTGATAATTCAGCTACTACACGATTCCTGTCATCAGAAAGGGAAACTTCTAAATAAAGTAAAACAAAATTATTTTAAAATTAACCATTATTCTTATCCTTACCATTCCTTTCCTCACGACATCTACGTGTACGTTGGTAAATCAGGTAACCACAGCTGCTTAAAATACATAATATTAGTGCTATGAATGCAACAATGACACAAGAAACTACTACAAGCGTAACAAGATTCCCTTTTTCAGGTGAGCCTAGTATAATATTGCAGAGAAGACATTATGCCATTTATAACACAGAGCTTGTAACACCTACCTGTAGGAGATACAGATACGCTAATAGATGAGGAAGTTGAAAAAGTTTCACTACTTTGTCTGCCAGAAGTTGAGCCTTTTAAAAATATTAAATGTATACATGTAAATAAACAATAAAAATATAAAAACAATGTATTTCATCTTACTGCTAGGAGATAAGGCAGTGGAGGGGAAGCCTGGGAAGGATGAGGAATGAGTTTTGACAGCTTGTGAAGATGTAACATCATATACATTACTTGGATCTAAGAGAAAGAATTATGTCAAGAATATATGTGTTAAGATATTTTATTTAATTCTGGGCTACTACTGTGTATGCATGTGTGGTCTTAAGAAATGCCTATTTCATTTTAAAATATTTGCTTCATAAGGGAATGAGAATGAAATTAAACCCCAATGAAATATATATGCTGTATGGTACAATACATATAGTGTCTACAAGGAAGTTTTGACTTTTGAATGTTGAATTACTAATTTACTATCAATCATTATCCTCACAAAAGATTATTTACCTATTGGAATAGTAAGAACCTCTTTAGTGACATTGAAAGTCACGTTGATCATGATAATTTCAGGATCCAATCCAACCATTTCAGATATGATGACTACTTTTTTATTTGGTAATGGTGGTGATTGTGTAGCATATGTCCATACAGTCCCATTTTGAAAAATTATATAGGTGAAATATCTGAATCTGCAAACTTGATAGTCACTTTCAACCTGAGATAAAAACAGTTATTAAAAAAGGAAGACAATTGTATAACATGCCTTAAAAGTAATATTAGCATCAATTGTTCTTTTCATTGGAATATAAGTGGCATCAACTAATTCGACTGTATAATCTATCAAAATTAATAGTAAAGTATTAGTACTATCATCAAAAGTATTTTTTACTATTATTTTGGATGGTTATATTCTCTGTTGACTGATATTTATAAAGAAAAGTTTCAATGCTGACATTAAACTCCATCAAACAATAAGATACATTTAACCATACACTAGTGGCAGTAATGTTATAATATATAACAATACCATCCACCATTATAGTGTAAGTATAGACAGATGGTTGTGGTACATCCGAATGAAAATAAGGATCAGACCACAATAATAATCCATTGTTGTATCGTACATCCCGAGCTGGTGTTATTCCTAAATTTAACGAATAAAATAAAATTAATTAATTAAATCGTATAGATTACATGCATATAATGCCACATTTTCATGTGACAAGGTGATGTTAGGGCCCTAAATAAACATGGGACCTAATTTTTACTCATTTCTATGCTCCAAAATGGCAATAATGATGATACCGTAAGGCACCTTTTTTGAGGGCTTTATATGTTGTAATTCATGAATTTTGTTACTATTTTGTGAAAATAAAATTCCTTGAATTGATTGTATGGGCATGGAAAATTCAAATTGGGGATAAAAATCACAAAATTTAATACAGCGGATTATATATTCGCTAAATTTATAGCCCTTAAAAAGGCACCCTATGATAATTACATCATCATTAATTACAATTACTACTAACCTTGCACAAATATCTGCCAGCTCGATGATATTTCAGCACTGATATTGTTACCACATAAAAATACGATAGCAATCACAAGCTTATTATTTGAAGGAATGCCAGGAACTGTGACTTCCGCAAACGCATAAGATGGACAGCAATCAGTGACATTAACATTAGTTGTTAATGAATGGATTTTCTTTATATTATCGTTTATAATTGTCGAGTTGACAATGAGAGTAACATGAGGCCGATGACTTGGACATGATGAACTTTGATTAAAAGTGACACTGCTGTGTAAGGCCAATTTAGTTTTAAGTCCTAAAAATAAAAAAAGACATCATCATAATATTATCACAGAACAAAAAGAAAGATACAGTAATTTGCCTTTTTTTCGTACAAAAATTTTTTGTTTCAGAAAAATTCAAGTGGAAATATTTTCATCTTCTCATAGTGTACGAAAATTTTTACAGTCTGAAAATTTAGCTTCTCTTGCGTATACCTTGTCCTTTACCTACTGGTAACAAGGCCGCTATAGTAGTGTTTACAATTCTTGAGATAAGAGATTCTTGACCTGGCTGTTCCCCGACATTACTAGTATACAGATAGTACTGGAGATGCAGCAATGACCAATTTACGGATAATAAATGGAAACATCAAATGGCTACTTTTGTCACATGGTGGACTGTTTTATTTTATAACTCAGTAGTGAAGCAACTGATTGAAGTACAGCAAGCACCAGTGGATAGAGCAAGGTTAGAGCTGCAAGAAGATACCTACTTATCAGGCCGTACCTTAGTCTTTCTTTGATGAATTAGGTCACAAATTTTGGTTGCTCAAAAATTTTCGATTGAAATATTTTCGTCATTTTAGGACCATACGAAAATATTTCCACATGTACGAAAAAAGGCAAATTACGGTATACCATATAGCGGGTTTATTTTGAGGATAATAATTTTCGTGCTGTGTCCGGAGGTTCACAGAATTAATTTTCACGAACTGTCACTTTTCTGCCATCTTACACCATATTAAACTGATTTTCAAAGAATTTGATTTCGCAAATCTTCAAAAATACGTGAAACTTGTTATCCTCAAAATAAACCCATTATACAGTAATCATTTTACAGGACTAGTCAGAGAGAAGGTACAAATAAGAGAGTTACAAATAATAAAGAGGCACTGGCTATAATAAAAAAGGAGAGACTTGAAGGTGTCAGGAACTTGCCCTAACACCCAGGAACATATAAACATTGGAACACATGACAAAAATTAGACTGGGTGACAAACAACTTGAGTGGGCAATGACAAGATTGTTACTATTTATTATTATAAGGTTTTACAGAACATGGCAAGAGATGGATATCTTCCTCTCAAAGAAAGAGCTTACCTAAGGCTAAGGATACGTTTGCAGAGGATAAGATTATTACCCCCAAGAAGACGAATGAGGTAGAAAAGGCTCCTGCCATTGGCGTCCTAAGAGAAGCAAGACCTCGAAAGCTAAAGATAGGAGTGGGTGTGGTCGATGATGATGATAATATCTTGAAGTTTACTGAGGTCCGGATTTGGCTAGCCATAGATATACTACCCGTAAACGGGTAGTATATCTATGGCTAGCCAGCCAGCGCGGCAGCGCCAAACCATACTCTGAGATTACTCTCCTCTTATCTTTTCACGAGTCACACAAAGTCACAGTCACCATAGATAGTATCTATGCAGTTACACTATATTTAAAAGATAGTAACAATGCATGGGACAAATTTTGGTAATCGTGTATAGATACCTTATCCGATTTAAGTGCTCCGAGTCTGGTGCTATAATGATAGATATACAGCAGCTGTCTACTCTTGATACTACATACTGTAAAAGACTATGTTTTCGAGACTATCTTATCCATTGGTGTCTTCATTGATTTTTTAATGATGACTAGTGCAGTTTCCAGTCCTCTAAAAACTCACTCGGGCCATTGCCGGGACACAGCCTTCTAATCACTATTTTGCTGCATACCACCGCAAACGCGTAGATGCCAAATAGGCATAGAATATTAGCTATATAGTCGGGCGGGCCTGCCTACCTTGCCCTTACTTGGTTTACCACATTGTTCTGCCTTCTGTTCAGTAGCTATAGCAGCCGGAGGCGAGCGCTCTTAGCCTCTTACCAGATATTAGAGTTTACATTGTCAAATGTTATCGTCAATTGATTATTGAAGCAATCGAATCCGGTCATCCCGGTGTATATAATAGCTGCCAGACTCCTCCCATCTTGGCAGTCATTAATGGCTATCTACCTAGCTATATAGCTCATAGCTCAGCTCGACGCTCATACAGATACAGCCCTACCCTTTGCAGAAAACTTAATTGCCACCAGTCTAATCACGTGACTCCATAGTAAGTCTACGTCTATGGATAAATCATCATGTGACTATGCACCTTGGCAAGACAAAGGGCCACTAAGATATCACTTGGTCACACGACATGTATTATCCACTATGCATGTTCAGATTCACATGATCGACAGGCTTGCTTGGTCAAGCAACCTGAAAAGCACTCTATTATTATTATTATGCTTTAGTTATATCTATGATTCAACTCGCCGAATCCGCTCTTTTGAGATTTGATCCCATATTTTGTTTCACCAAACAGATTCATATAATGCATTATTAGCATGTGGCAGTACTGTCTCGTAAGCTGGGTTAACTTCAGTCCTTACTCTTGATGGCCTCTGCTGCTGCAATTCAACCACTATATACAATGTATTATACATTAAGATTCAATAATTGCAGCTTATATTTTTACCTTGTCCATATGCTGGATTCTCCATAATAGGCCCTAAAGACGTTTATTACAATGGCAACTTGGCAAGAAACAGCAATACCAACCTTTAAATTTTTTGTTCCTTATTCTCAGACACCAAGCAACTGATATGATTATCAGTAACATGAGTACAAGTAACAATCCCCCAAATGTTGATAAGAGCACTATTGAAGCTGATAGTGTTGATTGACTACTAGGGACTGAAGGTAGCACTATGTAACAATAGTAGATCATGTTTATCATTAGTTATTATATGCCTACTTGATATTGCTATGGTTGATGACACATAGAATGCATCTGTGGCTACATAAAGTAAATAAACGTACAGTACTAAATAATAATCTCTTACTATCAATGATACTAGATGTTATACCATCAGTACATGAAGAGCTGTATAGATCTAATGCAGTTTTAGTGGTTATAGTTAGAGCTACTTCTTTTGGTTGTACACATGACCATGGAACAATAGTCATGTTAGTAATGGCATATGCAGTTACAGTATAGACTCCATTTGTTGGCAAAGATATCAGTGTACTATTATCAAATGTTATATAAAATGATGCCTTCTTTCTACTAACAGTGTGTGTAAATATCACATAACATCCATCAACAGTTGATGATTCTTCATAAACACATCGAACACTAACTGATCCATTCCCTTCAGTAGATAAAACAACATCTTGTATACTATTAGGACTTGAAGCTATTGAATAAAGAATAGATAACTGTTAGACTATATGCAAGCAACTCACTAATGGTAACATTATCTTCATTTTCAATTATATTTTTCAGAGTATTTATTACACTGATCACTGCAGTATATGTTTTGCAAGGCTCAAGTCCATCCATTATGTACAATACATATGTTTCTCTCATGTCAGTTGCAATATTCTCTGGAGAATAGTATTTCTCAGCATCTTCCTCCCAAGATTGAATTTTGCCAACTATGGCAATGTCACAAAACCTTTTGTTACTCTGTATCTGCTTAAAAGAGTAACTAGAATTATTTCAACAATCTTGCTTACAAAATTTAACAGTTCCACATAAAAATATTTGCTACTAGTTTCATTGAATATTAGAGTATAGTTAACAATACTGATGTTGTAAACTATTATTGGAAAAAGCATTCACATGATACTATGCACAAATACATGTTGTCTAAACTTACCTCCATTGTTATCTACACTATACTCCATTGCAATTGACTGGTATTCATTAACAGAAGTAACAATACTGACATTAAACTCAGTGGTACAAGAAGATATATTCAACCATAAACTAGTATCAGTAATATTAGTAACACTGATACCATTGATTAGTACATTATATATTGGCTTTTCTCCTAGTGGTATATCATCAGAATAAAATGTAGGTGGCAACCATGACAATGTTTGCAAAGCAATGGACCATTGTATATCTTCAACTGTTGATACTCCTAAAGAAAACAGAAATACCACTTATAGTAAACCTTTTAAGGCTTTACACTCACCTCTAATAGTTAAAGTTCCACCAGATAGATCTTGTTGGAATGATGGTTCAAAGGAGTATATGTGGCATGCAATGTTGATTCCATTGTTAATAGGTAGTGCAGTAATTGTTAGAAGTGATGATAAATTTCCAGAAACTTCAAAATCAGTAACTGTAATATCACGTTGTATTTTAATGGAATCAGTTAAAATGACTGCCTGAACTCTCCAGAAAAGTTGTTCACCACTTCCTTCACAAGCAAAGTTCACAATTGTATTGAGAGTTGTAGTAACAGAAACAGGACTTAGAGTTATAACTATGAGAGAAAAAGGCTATAAAGTTGTTGCATTTTGATCACACATATACCAGCTGCTTTCACTGTCACCACAATCATCAGTGACATCAAGAAAAATCTTGTTTCTTCTCCCTTAAGCATTTTAATCTAATCAGGAAATTTGTATAGCTAACTGAGTAGAAAAACATAATTTATATAGAGTACTACTGTGGTTAATTATAATTATATTATATATATATATATATATGGATGAGTAAAGTTGATTGTACAGATATGATGTGTCTAGTGGATAACTCATAACTGCTGTAGTCACTAGTCAACAGGTCATCAAGCTGCAGCTCCATATTCATTAACTTCAATAGTTTATTTACTAGGCTAGTTTATTTACCATCTAGTCAGCAAAAAATGGTGAAACTGATTACTGCTCTGTTTTTTCTGCTCTTGATTGTAACTAATTCCTTTTCTCTCAATCTTAGACCAATCATTGGTGAGTTACACTATGGTGACCACCTCCCTTCATATGTATATACAATAGGTATTGTATCAGAGACCACTACTGAAGATCATTCATACATTGCAGCATCTTATGTTAAGTATATAGAATCTGCAGGTGCTCGTGTTGTTCCTATTATGTATCCATTGTATTATATTAATGGGAATTGTTTCATTATGTCTAACTACATAATGCTGTTGTGTTCACATCTTGTAGACTATACATTAGTATCCCCTCCTTCTAACATAATAGCCTTTTCACTTGTTCTTATGCTCCTCCTTATACTTTTCCTTGACGGTGATCAATAACAAGTAATAATATAACACAAGATGAACTGAAGGATTTATTCGGATCCATTAATGGGTAGGTGTGGCTCATTAAAGGTGTTAGTTATTATTATTATTATTAATAGGGTCCTCTTTCCTGGGGGCGGTAGCTCACTGGTGGAATCAGCTTATCTTGAAGTAGCCAAAACAATATTTGAACTTGCCAAACAGGTTTGAAATACAAGTATAGACACAAAGAGAAAATACTGCATTAACCAGCAAAAATTAGTAACAATTTATCCTATTTTATGCTCTAACAATCAAAAATTAGTTGAATATAATCCTTATTTTTAGAGACTAAAGGGTTAATTTGTTAACATTATGATATCCATAGGCTAATGATGAAGGAGATTATTTCCCATTATGGGGCACATGTCTTGGGTTCCAGCTGCTGTGTGTGTTACAGTCAGGGACTAACCACATATTGTCATCATTTGATTCTGAGGATTACAGCATACCACTAAACTTCACTGATGGTAAGTAACATTAGTGCTACAGTAGCTATGGACTTTGAATATGCTGTTTTCTTGATGCATATACATGTTCTTATGTTGTATATCAAGTTTGAACTGATTCTGATCAAATTAGAGTAATGAAGTTGCTCCAAAAATTTTTTCCAAGACAAAGTTTTATAATAATAATAATAAACCAAAACCATAGGTAGTGGGATAAAATAAAAGAAAATGAAATAAAAATTAGGATAAAGATAGGTTAAGTTGGAATAATTTAGTTGGTGACTCTGCCCTCAGAAAGAACAAGGTCAAAGTCAAGGAATAAATTAGATGGACGAGTCTGAGTGCCACGGAGGCAAAGAACGGCAGAGTGGATTAGAGCAAATGATATTTAGGGCTAAAAGTGTTGCTGTACTATAGTACCGGGATTTTGGCCAAATTTTACCAAAAATGAAAGAATTCTCAATTTTTATAATTTTTTCTGATACATATACATGTTTTTATGTTGTGTTTCAAGTTTGAGCCGATTCTGATCAAATTTGGATTTTTTATGAATTTTTGAAGTTGTTCCGAAATTGGGTCAAAGTCCCTGTACTATAGTACAGGGATTTTGGCCAAATTTCGCCAAAAATGAAAAGGAGAGAATTTTTCATTTTTATAATTTTTTCTAATACGTATACATGTTTTTATGTTGTGTAGAAAGTTTGAACTGATTTCGATCAAATTTATATTTTTTACAAATTTTTAAAGTTGTTCCAAAATCGGACAAAAGACCCTGTACTATGAATCCTACTTAGTAACGCTACCGTGTTACTAATAGTACAGGGTCATTGGTTAGAAAGAAGTCTTAATTTTTGGCCACACTGAGACAACAGTTTTATTATGTTTTATTTGTATTTTTATTCCAGCTGCAAATGCTAGTCGACTCTTTTCAATGTACACACCAGAAGGAATGGGCTGGTTGAGCAGTGAACCAATCACAATGAACAATCATCAATATGGAGTCTCTCCTGATGTAAATAAATAATAATAATAACAATTTCTTTATTATTAATTTTTTATCATTATTTATTATTTTAGAGTTTTAAAAGCATGTCTTCTTTGACTGAATTTTACACAATTTTATCAACTAATTTTGACAGAAAAGGATCTGAATTTATATCATCAATAGAAGGCAAGCAATCATTATGTTTATTTATTATTTATTCCTCCATTTTCTATTCTCTCTATTTAGCTATTCATTATCCATTTTATGGCGTCCAGTGGCATCCTGAAAAGAACACATTTGAATGGACGACAGCTGAATCCATCAACCATTCTTATCATGCGGTCTCCATTGCTCAGACAGCTGCTAATTTCCTTGTCAGTGAAGCAAGGAAGAGCGACCATCATTTCACAAGTGAAGAGAAAGAAATGGACTCTCTCATTTATAATTATGAACCAACATATACTGGGAAGGTATCTCACAGTTTTGAACAAGAATATGAATTTTGAAATGTGAAAAACTTCTTTGAATGTTGAATCCACCCAATCCATTGCCTATTTGCTATGATATTGTTGCAGCTGCTGTTGTTGTTTATTTTGTGGTTGTTTGTTGTTTATTTTTGGAGTTTGAAAGTGAAAATAATATGTAAAAAATTGCAAAGAAAAAGAGAACAGAGTGAGAGTGAGGTGGGTGGGAGTGTGTGCAATCTTTTCTTAAAGAAAAAATAAGAAAATAGAATCTCTTAGTTTAGAGTTTTTCTACAACGGGCGGAGCCACATTTACAAGGAATTTTAGCTTCTTCAATTGGAAATTTATAATCATAAGTTAATTCTTCACCAGGAACAATCCTAGAGAGAGAGAGGGAGTGATGTAAAATGAAGTAAATGTTTTTTTGATAAAAACAATCTCATAAAGGCTAATTCACACAGCACACTGAAACATAAAGTAAAGTGTTAAGTTAAGATACATTTAGTCCACAGTTACATGTACATGTACATGTATAACTTAAGGATAGTAAATGACTGATTCTTTCACTAACCGTCTCAGAGCAAATATCATAATCTTCTTCTGACCATCAACTGCTACAACTTTACTGTAACAATTCGGCTGAAGAGAGAGAGAGACAGACAGGCAATAAACACAATAACTATGGCAACCAACAAACTCCACCCACCTCACAAGAATGATTAATGAATCGAGCCATGTTTCCGGACATTGTAGCGTCCACCACTTCATCACTGTCAATACGAAACATGTAACACCCGATACCTCTACTCTCGTAGAACCGCTCCCGATAGTCAGTGAGGGTGGATCGGATTACAGTACCAGCATATTCAATGACCATATCACCGGAGTCAATCTCCTGGAGACAGAAGAGGCCCAGCCCGTGAATATGGGAACCAAACACGCCCACATTCTCACGATACATCCGCTGACACGCCCGGTAACGCATAGCAACGGGGACATCATTCTGAGGCTGATGACGACTAAAAAAGAAAAAAATATATATATATATAATAAATTATTATAATTTCTTTGATTACGTATTGCTGTTCCCCTGACATTCAGCTTGTATTACTGCCATGTCAAGTGCCTCTGGATCAGGTTTAGGTGGATCAGGCCTCCACTGGGACATTAGGAAACTAAACATGTCTGACTCCGACCTTATACTGGGGGGGGAGAGGATTAGGAAGAGAAGAGAAAATAGTAATAAAATATTAATTTAAAATAGTTATGTTCTGTCTTATCTTACCCATTATAGCCTTCACTTCTAGCACAGCCAGTTCTATTAACAATCACCCTCTAATTATGATAATAATAAATAATAATAAAAATAAATAAAAATAATAATAAATAAATAACCTTCTGTTGCCAGTTAGATATCTTCTCCGGTTGGTAATAAATGAAATTGTGTCTGGAGCATTTCTCATGATCGGGTAACTGCTCCAGCAGCTGGAGGACAAGATGATTGGAGAGTCCAAACTGATTGTAGACATTATCAGGAAAGAAAGGGACAAAGGGAAGGTCCAGTTTGTGTCTGGCATCTTGTAACTCACTAATCACTGACTCCCATAACACTAGGGGGAGGGAGGAAGGGAGGGATTCAAATTAATATTAATACAGAGCCAAACCCCACAATATATGTACATTAAAACACTAAATCAGTACACAGACATCACACAATAAAAAACAAACTTTAAAATGTATGTACATATACATGTACATGTACATGTACATGTATGTGTATATGTACATACAAAAAATGTGTAAAAAGTACACTAATAACTTCTACCAAAAATCAACACTAACATGTGCATGTACATATTATTATTATCATCATTATTAGGCTATATTCTTCTAGTTTATTTATTATTAGTTATTATTATTATTATTATTATTATTATTATTATTATTATTATTATTATTATTATTATTAGTATCACTACCTTTAAGATCAGGTCCCCTCCATGACTGCCCCTCCTCATTACTGAGCTCATACTGGACACTGTTCACACTATGAGGAGGTGACCCTATCTCCCACTGATTGAGAGCAGGTGAGTCTAATGGTAACACTGGTCTAACGGTCTCCTCCTCTTTGTGAGACTGTGGACAATGGACACTGGTTACTGGTGAGGGGGCGGTGATGGTTAGTCCAATGGCGAGGGTAGGAGGGGGAGAGGAGGAAGAGGAACGAGTCTTCTTTGGAATACGAAATATCCTCAAAGCAATCTCAGGATTAGACTGGAGAGAAGAAAATAAAAAATAAATAAATAAATTAAAAGCTCCACCCCCTTACCTTATCTGTTACATTATTATTAATTAGAGATGGACTTGATAATATCTGACTTTTAGAGGACACTGCTGACCACACCCCCTCATTATCAGAATCATTAACTTGAGTGCTGACATACGGCCATCTTAAATCACCAGGTGAAGTGGGTGGGGTTTCAGGAGTAGGTGTGGTTAAAGGGAGTGGCTCTTCCTTAGGAAGATCAGCTGATACTGTGAGAGTGTAGGTGATCCGTTGGGTGGGCGTGGTCAGGCTCCAGAAGAGAGAGGAGGAGGAGAAACTGTGAGGGACGAGAAGTGATGGACATATTGTATCAGAGAGAGGAGAGAGGGAGCCAGTGGAACGTATTAATAATGATCCTATGGACAAGGGAAGAGAAAGAGAAGAATAGTAAATGATTAATGTACAGTACATGTACATATACATGTATGTTAGTGAATTAATTATATTGGTGTGTGTGGGTGTGTTTAAATTGGCACAAACCTATACAAAAGCACATACATATGTATACACCACTGTATTAAAGGCATAACTAAACAGCCTGAGGATATTTCTATACTCACTGTCTGTCCATGTACATGTACATGTACATATTAATGAATACTCATATGTTAGTCATTATACTGTACCTATTCTTAGTTGAATGTTTTGTGGTGGAAATGATTTAGTGAATTTCCTCCCAGGCTTGTCATTATCAGTGTGTATAATGATACACCTGTCAACTCTCATGTCCTCATCTTTAACAGTGTCACTGGTAACAGGTAGAGAGGAGTGCTGCTGGCAATAGACTTCTTTATTACTTAAGAACCTACAATCCTTCTTCCTAGCACACATGAAGTGGTAGTTAGAGGAGCAGCTGGAGTGACAACAACCAACAGTAGCACCGTGTAAGTGACAGAGGTCACATTTCTGGAGAGAGAGAGGGAGGGAAGAGGAGGAGGA